GTTTAACAGGAAGAAACCTCCGACAGAACCAGGCTCAGGGAGGGGCAGGGCCATCTGCTCCGACCATGTTTGAGGAGGATGTGTCTGAGGAGGATGTGCGGAGTCTCTCTCTTGAAACAGCTGGCACACACGAACATAATGACGTCACCGTGGGAGAGTAACTGAACATGATGAACACAGACACACCAGACCTCTTCACAATAAAACAGGAAACACAGTGAGATATAGACATGACAACCTGAACTGACAACATAAGCCACAGACATGAAATACATGGAAAGCAGGGGAGACTTAAGTGGAAACACGAGGGGGAAAATAACTAGAAACACCTAGGCATGATAGACTTAACATAGTGGGAACACGAGGGGTAAATAACTAGAAACACCTAGGCATGAAAACGATGAACTTAGGAAACCTGAAGGCTACATAAACTAAACACAAAACGCTGGGTCAGCAGACCCAGGATCATGACAGTGATTCTGGTAATGAGATGGCTGAAACGATGAAATGAATGATTGTATAACATGCAGCAATTATATTAATATATTGAATAAAACTGTAAAAGTAAAGTTTTTTGTCATGGGTAGTTATCATGTGCAAAGAAATATTCTAGGCATTGTCTACCTGATTTCATTGGGCGTCTCCTCCTCTTCATTTTTTTCCATGTCCTTTTTGCAGAATACCAACCAGATGATGAGTAAGATAAGCAGAATGGCGAAGGACACACCAACCACTACACCTGCTACCACACCAATTCCCTTTACATCTACCAAAAATAACAAAAAATATTGATGTAAGACACACTATTATGCTACAACTACCAATGCATCAAATTCACCATTGCTATTTTTCAGTTGCATGCAAGTTTCAGTAAAATACTTGTCTCCCCGTCTTTATCATTTTCAGAAACCTATATAACACACCCCAGTATTATAAAAGCTAAAGCCAGATTTAAAAAAAAAACAATTTATCCCTTCAGCTATTATATATTATAGATATAATATAAAATAATTGAACCTTGAAAATCAATACATTTTAAAATTGTTTTAAATAATGCTATTCCAGAAGTTCCAAGTTGTCGACTATAGTATTGTGAGAAAGTCTTGAGTCATCACTTTTTATTTATTGAAAAGTTGGAAATATGTTCAGTGATTTACTGAAGTATGTGCAAATATAAATGCAAATACTTATTCTAAGAGGTGGTTGTGGCTCAGGAGGAAGAGTGCATTGTCTACCAATTGGAAAGTTTGTAGTTTGTTAAAGGCCTGCCACCTCTTTTGTCTTCCACTTGTCCAGTTTCCCTCAAATTATTTTAAAGACACACAGCACACCATATTGAGCTGTAACAGATTTTTGGCTGTCTTTTTAAATCACCTTGTTTTTGATTCAAGGTGTGTTTTGCACCAGGCTGCTAGTAACAAGGTGTCTAAAGATTCCATTTAAAATGGGTTCTTTGATAAATTGTTTGGCTGGCACTGGTTCTGTCACGGTCCCCGTGTCTCTCTGGCTGGCTCACGCTGGCTACAGGTTTTGTTGTTGTTGTTCTTTTTTGTTTTTGTTTTCTTTGTCTCTCCTCCTCCTCTCTGCCTGGGTGGAGCTCGTTACGGGCTCTCGCTCTTGGCCCACGCACCTGTGTGATTGTCTCCACCTGCTGCTGATCTGGCTGATTTCCCCAGCTGCTATTTAAGGCAGTGGCACAGAGCAGCTCACCGCTGGAACGTTGAACCGCCTGAGTTCGTGCTCTTGGCATTATCAAAAGAATCCCGTGTGTATTTTGTAAGTATTTGTATACTTGAATGATTCAAGCATAAAACACAAAGGCTTAAAAAATATTAAACAGATATGCTCTCTTCCATTTGCACAATATCTAAAATTAGAAAAATCCAGTCTTAAAATGATGCTAAAAATCCTGTTCATCCAGTTAATCTTCTAGACTGGATTACTTTAGTTCATTATTATCAGGTTGTTCTAAAAACTGACTGAAAAGCCGTCACTTGATCCAAAATGCTGCAGCAGGAGTACTGACAGCGACTAGAAAGAGAGAGCAGATTTCTCCTATATTGTCTGATGAACTTGGAAAAGAACGAACCTGGACTTTTTAAAGTTTCTTGAAGACACTTCACCTCTCATCTGAAAGCTTCTTCAGTTCTAAAACCAAATGGTGGAAAGTCTCAGATATTTAAACCCTAGTGGGGGTTGTCCATTAAGAAGGTCGTTGAACCACTATTGATGATGTGCCTTGTCACATGAGCCAAGATGTTAAAAAAGCTGTAAGTCATTAACAGCAGAGTTCATCAGCAGAACAAACCTTCCCTCACCCTATATCATGTGACCCATTGAGATCAACTGACGCAAGATGTAAGTAGGGCTTGAGGCACCTTGGGAAAGGGATCTCAAAACTGCATTGTAGGTGGCAAGCAGTTGGTGTGATAAGCCACCTCCTCTGTTGAAAGATGGCTGTTCACAGTGGACATAGAAGGCCTCTTTCACTTCTCTGTCAAACTATCTGTCTTGTCTGTCTAAAATGTGAACACTGAGATCCTTGAAAGAGTGATCTTTATCCTTTAGATCGGGGTGTCCAAATCCAGGCCTCGAGGGACGGTGTCCTGCAGGTTTTAGATCTCACCCTGGATCAACACTCCTGAATCAAATGATTAGTTCATTACCAGGCCTCAGGGGAACTTCAAGACATGTTGAGGAGGTCATTTCAATCAGATCTCACAGGTATAGGAATGCTTGGCACTATACAAGGCTTAAAGTACACGAGTAATGTTCCTTAGGAACTCAGTGCACTGGAAGACAATACTGGAGACCAGAGATGGGCAGTAACACATAATCCAATTACTTTTTAATGTAAAGGATTGCTATTGCAAAAAGGTAATTAGATTACTGTTACTTTCCAACGTCCATGGCACCAACAGACACATGTGTAGATCAAGAATAGAAAACATGGGGCGCGGGATAGAGCAGCACCATGCAGCATTTAATGTTGGGAAATACTGACATTACTTTGAGTTTGACTCTTTAAAAAGTGACTAAGTAACTAATTACTTTATTCAAGTAATTTGAACAACACTGCTGGAGACCAACTCCAGGCTACTGCACAAGCCACTGTCAAGCGTGTAATATACGTAGGACAAATATGTCCCACAGATGACAGTGCTGACTCAATGTCAGAGGGAGGACTGGGAGAGTAGTTTATGTCCTGTGCCAGAACATTTCCCATGTGGCCACTGAGGGTTTTTATTATGTTCAAATCAAAAGAGCTGCATTGCTAGTGGTATGAGGAAAAGAATGGATTGGTACAGCAGATCCGGGAAAGTACTGACAAGCACTTAAGCTGTTCCAGGTTTTCTCACAATATTCATATTCATAATGGATGAAATTCATTTTTTACCTCAAATACCTACACACAATATCTCATGATGTTTCTGCCCATAGTTATTCCCTCATTGTCTTCAGTTGTGTTTTGATCTCTGTCTGCTCCAGTCTGCATGCCAAATGTCCTTGGGCAAGATACTAACCCCATGTTGCTCTCCGAAGTAGGATTTAGATAGAAAGCATTTACATAGAAAGAGCATAGAAAAGCACTGTATAAGAATAAGTCCATTTGCATTACATTAAAGTTTGAGGGAGGCTTTGTCACACCAAAGCCCCAGCCAATCTAAATTTAAACCACTAATGCAAGGTGATAGGGTGAACCAATGCACCACCTTTCCACTCAGAATCAACCAAAAAAACACTATCATATATGGAGTCTAGTGTTAATTGATGGATCTGATCAATAATGAGTGTAGAAAGCCCCTTCAAGTGTGAGTTTACAATGCAATGTATTATTTTGAACTATGGAGAAAAGACTGTCTTCCCATCCACTTCAACAAATTTCATCCACATTTTTGCTAAAAGAAAAATGATCAATGATTTTAGGAAAATAACTGAGATTCCACTTAAGAAGCAGTGAACTTAAGGTTGAGAAGCACAGACAGACCACAAATTTTGAGAGATGTTGTGATCTGCAATTTAAAAGAATGTCACGTTCACCTACAGTTTCACTATAGCACTTCAGGCAGTGTGTATGAAAATAATTTGCAGATGAGCTCTACAATGACATGAAGAGGGGATTTTATTCTGCAAATCAAAAGCAGCAATTGTTAACTTATTCAGTGTTCAAAAAAAGTTCTTCACTCACAGTGTATCTTGACTTCCACTGTGCAGCTCTCTTCTCCCACATCATTGCTGGCTGTGCATTTGTAGAGTCCGGCATCGTCCTTGGTCAAATTCCTCAGTGCCACAATCTCTGGGGTTTTGAAATCTGATGTACCAAGAATGACAAGACAGCATCTAAGAGTGCACTACTGTTTTATGGTGTTGTTTGAAAAAGAGTTGATTTCTATTGAAATAAATGTACCTAAAGATGAGTTAACATAAAGAAATAGTCATTGCCTTTGTACAAATCTTTGCTGTTTTTAAAAAGTAAATACTTTTGACAGATTCTTTATGCAAGCTAAATGTACTTGAAAAAGATAAAAGGAGAACAGAATAACTTAGATTAGTCAGAAGTCTTCATTTATTTAAGAGCTGAAACATGACTATGCAGTAAAACGAGTATGTAATCGGTTCTGTTTGTTTGTCTTTATGTTAGCATGCACAGCATCTAGTGTCCACAGTTTAGCATTTTTCAGATTTGGCATCATGGTGGATTTTTTTTTGAAAATTGGTTGAAGGTCAGTAACACCAAATGTGAAAATCATTAAACAGTTTATATTACCTGCAATTTTTTTATAGATCATCTTCAAATTCCAGAACAATACACTTGACCTTGGGGGACGTGAGTACCGAGGTTGGATAAACAAAGGTCAAAGTTGACCAGATCGAGGTATATATATTTTGGGCATGGAGAGAGCTGTACAACACACTTTTTATGTTTTCATTATGATGCCCTACCACATCACAATGATGTGTGTGTTTTGTTCTTTTTTGCTTCGTTTCAAGGTTTAAATTTTTGTTTTAAAAAGCCCTAGGTACATCTGACAGACTTACCTATCAGTGTCAGTGGAGGCAGCTTGTCTACATATTTGCCTTCGTCCAGTACTTTTTCCCATTTGTAATGGATAGGATCAGAGCCATCAGCGGACTTGCAGCTCATCTTAACATCACTGCCTTCCAAGAATTTGCCCTCCATCCAGCACTGTGGCTCAGATGGCTTCACTGTGGACATACAGTCAGACAGACACACAGACATTCTCAAAATGCTGTTGAGTCATGTGGTAGGGTGTGGTTTGTGGCTCAGCTGCAGGGGAGGGGTGGAGCAGAGGGTTCAGGGTGCGGAGTCAGCCTCAGGTGTGAGGCTGACTCAAACTTGAGCTCCATCATCTAGTCATGCCTCCTCGATAAAAGATGTGCTGGGACCTGAGGTGGGACCTAGGGCTACAAGCAGGGCAGATGAAAAGTTGTCCAGTTAAAAACAGTGCAAATAAAAACGTGTGCAACTGCAAACGCTGTTGGCGGGTACATCATTTCCACAGTGGTGCCAAAACCCAGCGCCTCCACTGGCAGAACCAAGACCGGCCCAGCCAGTGGAGGCGCTGGCCTGGATGGTGGGTGAGCTGGTGGGTATGCAGTAGGAGCAGGAGGTGGTGTTTAGCCACCAGCTGGAACAACTGCAGGACCAATCTGAGCACTGGATGGGGCTTTTGGGAAGTCTGGTAGCTTGGGCTGGCCCCCGCCAGTGTCCCTCTACTGTATGGGGGAGGGAGACGACCCTCCCCCACGCCTTCCTGGAGGTCTTGCGGGCCATGGCGGTTGTGTACCATTGGTTGGAGGAGGAGTAAGTGCTGATTCTGCTCCCGCTGCTGTCTGGCAAAGCCCATGTAGTGGCTCTCAGCCTGCCCGCGTGTGAGCAGCAGCTTTGCAGATGTCCAACAGGGCCTTGTACCACAGGACTATCGCTGGCGGTTCTGGGAGGGTCGGATGGGGCCGAAGGACTAGCCTTTCCCCTACGCTAGTCAACTCAGCGAGGCTGTGGCTGTAACCCAGGTCCGCTCAAGGGGAGGCTCGCATCATGGAGCAGGAGATCCTGGAACTGTTCATTGCGGGCTGCCCATGGAGACCACAGGATGGATCTGCTGCCATCGCCCAGGCAGCTTGAGCGCCTCGATTTATCTCTGCACAACTGGGGGAGCCGGCAGGGCAGCCCCCTATGCCACCTAGTAGCTGGCCTGGCTCAAATAAACCCATCTAAAAACAAAAGTGATCAGTTTTTGGACAACATAACTCCTCCAAAATTATTAGACACTCAAGCAATGGCACTGGATTCGCCACTGACACCAGGTGAACTCCAGGAAGCCCTGATAAGTATGC